GATGCAGACATTTTAATCCAGTGCTATAGGTAGGCTCACAGAATTAGACCCAAAGGATTTGTAACTCCAAATGAAACCATTACAACTACAATGTCAATGTCAGGAGAGAGAGAAAATTACTTCTGTATTCTAGAATTACTGTTCTGCACACTGCAGTCTGTTGAGGACAAGATTGCAAAGTACACTGGACTAGCAACAACATGCAGACTGTTTTCTTGTATTTACCCACAAATGTCAAAAAACATTATGAAGTAAAAATGATTATTTAAAAAAAAAAACAAACAAAACAAAAACATGCCTCAAGTTATTGTCAAGCTTCAAACTTAAAGGCTGAGAAAGCGAATTATGTACTTAAAACTACTGATCTGAAGCACTATTAACACTAAATCTGCGATCCGCTCGAAACGGCAGATTTTCCTGGTTCGTCTGCCTCCCACCAGACTGACAGTGAAGACAGTCACACTTTCACAGATCGTGGTATTTCAGAGCTTTCTCTAGAGGGAGAAGTGAGGACTGCTCCACGGCTCTCTCCCTACGGAAAATGTCAGGGATCTTGATGGAGATTTACTGCTGTCTCCCGAAGCCATATTTGCTTCTAACATGCCACAATGTTGCTTCTGCTTTCTTCAAGACGTCTGGAGAGATCCCCCCTCCCAGGGAACAGCTCTAGAGGGCTTTGTGAAGGGAGAAGCTATCAGGCTTTTCAGCCAAAAAAGGAACACTGGGCTTAAATCTGGCTCTGGCAAAACCCCACGGCAGCCGAGGGGACCCTCGGGTCGAGGGGGGACGCAGCTCGTTTTACCTACACGCAACGCTGGGCGGTTCGACACGGTCCCAGCGCCTCCAAAGCTCACCCTGGCCAAGGTTTCCTCATGAAGTGAAAGACAATGGGATTTCTGGTTAGGCAAAGATTGGAAAAAACCGGGTCCCAAGGCTCCTCTTCGCTAAACGGACAAAAAACAGACAACCTTTTATTTACAGGCTGAAACCCCCAGTCTGCGATCGCAGTGAAAACCCCTTCCCTTCAGCAGAGCCAAAACGCGTCAGCTGCTGAGGCTGCTCCGCAGGCAAACTGGCACGACCGCCCTATGCCACCCCACTATTCTTTCCTAAACACAAAGAACATTTCAAAGGTACAAAGTCCCATCAAACACCCTTGCATGAGGTAAGCAGTGTAAGGAAAAAAGGAGTGCTTTTTTAAAAATGAAAAAAAATCAATTAAAATTGGTAGAAATCTTTGGCCTTTCTCTCAAGATGCATTAAAGTGTCACGAAATCAAGAAACATGCTTCGAAATGCCATGTCATTCTGACTCTGGTAACTACTACCTCCCCTCCACCCAACCCAGAAAAAGAGGCACTTTTAGTGTTTCATATAAGATTTCCAATCATCTAGTAGACACGCTAAATAACCCTGCACAATGGTAGTCCCAGAATAAACTCAGTTTATCAACATTACAAAGAGTCTAAAAAAGCTTTTATGAGGACCTAGATATTCTCTTAACTACACTAAGAAGTCCACTGGTTGGGAATCTTTACATCAATTTAAAAATGCAGTAAAAGTTAAAGTAAAAATAGGGAAAGAGGAACTCTACAGAAACCTGGATCTGATCATGCAGAAATGAGAAACGGGATTCTGAGATGGACGTGTAGAAAGACAGTGAACTCAAGAGCAGTTCATTTCTTATCCCATCCTTAATTCTGAGCCCAGTTTTTCCCCTTCCTTTTATCCTCTATTTGGATACTTTCCCATTATTGTGTTGAACCGGAAAAAATAGGTAAGACTAAGCATGTGCGTACACGCTGCACGAAGTCAGGGTCTTGCTGCCACTTGGCATCCTCAATTGAAAGGAACAATTTGGATGGTCCACCTCACTATCGAATAAGAGGCCTTTGTGCTATAGTAATAGTAGACAGAAATTCATGTCATAGTTCTCTCTCTTTTTTTTGTTGCCTTTTTTGGTTCACGTGATCACAGAACCCAGCACACCTTGCACGCGTGCGGTGACCGGCGCAGGGAGCGCGAGGCGAGAGGCGGCGGGAGCAGGAGCAGCACTGTGGCATGGCAGGACAACAACAACAAACTGCTACGGATCCTTCCCTGCTGGAAAGTGGCCTCACTCCAGGCAGTGGGGCTCTGCTGACCCACACCAGGCTGGGGGCTCACCCTGCGCATCCAGAGCGCTCGAGCCAATGGATCTGACGTTCCTGCTGGGGTGTGCTTCGAGCCCCTGGCAACCCTGGGCCTGGTGACACTGGAGCTCTGGTTTTTATCTATTTCTGAGCGTGTGATGCTATGCTTAAGCAACTAGAATTACAACCAAAACAGCTGATGATTGAGAAAGAGGAAAATGGCAATACCCTAAAACATGGCTGTGTGATTTTGCAGCTATGTCACGGAATTCCACCACAATTGCTTAGATTGGCTGAAAGAATCGTCCCAGTAACTTTTATGAAAATGAATAAACTGTCCATATTAAAATACAAAAGTACTATCAAGAATCACTTCTGACTTTCAGATTTAAATTCAGTGCAATTGACAAATGCATTGCTAAACAAAAAATGCAGCTTAAACATACTCAAAACATTTGTGTCTATTCCTGGGAGCACAGTTTAAAATTATTGCACAGAATTTTTTTTTTATTTTTATTTTTTTTTTCATTAAATGACAGAGGTCAGCCACAGTCATGGACCTCCAGCAATAAAAGCAATATTTCAAGTGCCAGACACTCAATATATTAGGTTTCCTACATATTGTAACTCACAGGGTAATTGCTCTAAACATTTGCAATATGCTCCAAAACCCTAAAAACAGCTGGCACCGAACCACCGCAGATAACTGTCTTTATGGATATGACTTTGTGTTGGTTTTAAACGCTGTGTATGATAGTAGCATAATCCTGGGGTATATAGAAAGAATGTATTGTTGACTTGTCTTTACCACTGGCAAATTGCTACCCTACCTTAGCCAAACTCAGACTTGCTTCAAGTCGTGTTTATTTCATGGAAATAGCAGAAATCGATGCCTAAAGAACAATGGTTAAAATGTCAAAGCTGCGTTATCTCAATTAAATGAATTTATACCTAACTTGGGGGGGGGGGAACCCCAAAACGAATAAAAAAATAGGTTAGAGACTAACAATCATAAGCCACAAAATTAATAGTGATTGAAATAGTGTTATAAAACTGATAACTTTGCAAAGCTCTGTAATATAAACCATTCCTTAAGTAAAATGTCTGTGACATAAATTTGACAACCTCTCTTTTTATAAATTTACACTCTTGGAATCTTATGCAAGACATGATGCAACCTTTTTGACTACACATACGCGTAAACACAACCTCATGCTATCATTTACAAATAAAATCACTATCAATATACTTTTAATCACATGAGCAGAAAAAGGTTTGCCATATACATCTGTCATTGTAAGAAAAATACTTGATATTGTAAACAGAGTAAAAGACACTATATAGTAGTGATTATTAAAAAAATAGCAGCTTACATCTACCCTACATTTGGAAAAAATGTAGTCACAAGATACAATAAACTGCAGGACTGGAGCAGCAGGGCAATTAGTGCAAGTATTCATCTTTCAAATAAGCTGAATCACTGCTATTAAAATAAACTTGAAGCAAGTCCTCTGTTTCAGATTTTTTTTAAATCTAAGGTAGTAAACATTTTGCCTCTTAATGGCAGTGTTATCAAATATATGCCAAAGATTTTATTTTAATAAAGAAAAATTACATGAAATACTTTTAATACTGGAGTTTGGTTACAGTTATACATCTAAGCTCCTACAAATAATGATGGGCAACTCTTAAAGAAGCTGTGGCATGAACCCTTGTCCAGAAAGATCTTAACCTTTTAAACAAAATCCCCCAGCTATACTTTGCTCCTTTTCACAATAGTGCACAATTTAACCATATTTTAGCTATGGTATTAAAGCAACAGAAGATGCATTTTTTTCCTCTTTTTTTTTAACCTTTTTTTTTCTTTTTTTTTTTTTTTTTTTTTTTTTTTTTTTTTTTTTTTTTTTTTTTTTTTTTTTTTTTTTTTTTTTTTTTTTTTTTTTTTTTTTGCATCCCTGTATTTTTTTCCTGTGTTTTTGTGCCCTTCTGTTCTTAAGATTGGCAGAATTATGTCCCAAATAAGAACTACTGCATTTCAGCCATGTCACCAGAAAATCAAACATAACCTTATACCCATTACTGTCATACTTCATAGATGAGCAGGACGTGAAATACCACGCCTTGAAGAAGGATGGTTTTTTTTTCCTTCTCTCTCCATAATCCCTTTTCCACCCTCCCTCTGTTCACAAAATTGTGCTCTGGGAGCCACAAAATGTACCAAACATCATCAGGTTCAAACTACCTCTTCAAAGAACGCATCAAAACATGTTTCAAAGAAACGCCTTTTTTTTTTTTTTTCCCAAGGTGAAAAAAACATAAACAAGAAACTAATTCACTCCCTTACTTCATGCATCCGTAAACTTAACCAAAACAAAACAGAAAACCCAATGTTTAAAAGCAAAGAGAAAAAAACTACTGCTGCAGATTTCTGTAAGTCCATTTTCTCTGTACACACAAACTGTTCAACTACTGAGAAGAAAAACAAAAATACCCCACAATCCGTGTGAGAATGGATTTAATGGGGAAGGGGTAATGAAGGCTGCCATTAGTATCTTCTGAATTTGGTATGTATATGGGTCTGCTCTTGTATATGGTATATTTCTCTCTCTCTCTCTCGCTCTCTCTTCTGTTTTTCATATCCAAAACCTTTAAATGTTATTTTGGGGCACAGCAGATTCCAGCACTTGGTGAACAGGATTCACAAGCTGTGACAAAACTCTGTCATCCTCTTCAGGGTGTAATTTTTTTTTTCCTCTTTTTTTT